CCCGCGCGCACACCTACCACACACACTCTTGCGCGTACACTCCTACACATTCTTTGCGCCCCGCGCGCATGCACACACACACACACACACACACACACACACACACACACACACACACACACACACACACACACACACACACACACACACACACACACACACACACACACACACACACACGTTGCGCTCACTAACGTAGGTACACAAACAGTGCACGCTGCGTTTACACAGAAATATATCAAATTAGATTTGACGTCGACTTGTGTATTTTTTTCTATTTTTTTTCAAGTAATTGTTAAGTTATGTGAGTTTCAGATGACCTTATTCTTAATGCTCCTTTGTCAATGGCGAGGTACAATAGTAGCGCATCTGGTGTTCATAACGCCAGTTATTAGTAGGCATAACGCCAGGCAACAAAAAACAGCTGTTTAACACAGAGAACATCTTGTCCCTCGTTAGGTGGTAATAATATGCACAGCATCAGCAGCTTGTATTCATATATCGGATAGAAACTTGCATAGCTTTCCTACTGTGGACAGTTGGAAGCCAACCTTCCTTTTACTACACATTCCCTAACATTTACCACGCCAAACTAACACGTGTTTATAATGAACTCGCGCGTAGATATAGGAAACTCTCCTAAATTCCTGTCATGATATAGACAGCATGAGCTCAGGCGTTTCCAAAAATAATGTAGTCCAGCCTCCAACAGCAGTAATAGCATTGTATTGGGAAAAGTAAACACGCCTCTACTTGGGTTGCAGAATATTTCCTTCTACTAACACAGCGCGGGAGAACTGTACACATACGGTTATGCATGGTGAAGGATAGCGAGGTCGGTAGGTTTAAATATCGCACTGACAGAATATGATGTTATATATGACAGAATATTAGACAGAAGATGATGTTTAAAATGTTATGGTTTTGCAGGTTTACGGACAAACAAAACATCGGAAATTGAAATAGGTAGTTTAGCTACCACGTCTATCTCCAGATGGCGCCACGTGGTGAGCAGAGCAGCCTGCGCAAACTGTAGTATGGGTAGAGGAATAGACATACGTCCCCGGAGGTAAGATATTTGCTTTTACACATTTTATATCAGGCGAATATTATGCATATTTCCAGCTAACTAGTATGTAGATAACGGGATGCGTGTTGTTTTTTGTGTCTGGTGCTCATCAAGTGAAATTTGAATTATTTATCATAATTTATTTGATTTATGTTATTTCTCTTTTTTTGTTTTTTATTTTTGTTATTTTATTTTTATTTTTGTTATTTTATTTTTATTCTTTTATTAAATTAAACTAAAATAATTTTTTTAATCTCATGATAATTCAATCTTTGCGTTATATGTGTCACTGATTTGTTTAATCATGTGGGCGCTCACCTTATTAAAAATGTTGTATAACTAAGGCTATCATACCGAACCACTTTTATGCTTATCACATTATATTAGTAATATTTTGTATGTGGAAATAATGTATAAGAGGAGAACACGCTATTATTGCTGTTTAAAAACAAAAACAAATTCAAGCAAGACCCTCAGGCTGTTTAGTCGGACAAAGCAATTAAGTCTAGTAAGGAACTTCAATTTATGTTCATGATTTCAGGATATATAATATCAGGGACTATTGAAGAGGAACTTATCTCGCATCTTAACTTTTGTGCTATATTTTTTATCTATTCTACAAGATGTAAGCAAGGTTGCCTTATTATCAATCGGAAATCAAATGACATAATTATAAACAATAGAGTGATTCTCATGATCATAAAACGCTTCATTGTTATTTTCCAAAAAACATAAAACATAAACATAACAGTGATCTACTAGCGTAGGCATGTTAGTGCGGACCAGACTAACCCATGCAATGCGAACTAACGGGCTAACAGCGAATTCAAACTGTGTTCGGTCTCATAAAAACTAACAAATGTCGCAGCTAATGCCACCTCCATGTAATTTTCGAGAATAACTAACCACAGTTGCTGCTGAAAAATTAAGACGCGTGTAAATCGCTACGAGCATGCGCGTAACTCGATCTCAAGTCTACACTGTGATAAGACAGCAAGAGCACTGAGAGAGCTTACCACTACGACAGCTAGGGTTTAGCCACTACGACATGAAGCGCGTAAAGATGACTGATTTCGTACTAAAAAGTATAATAATGATAGAATCTTATATATAGCCAGACACAATAATAGCATTATTGCCTACAGTGAAAGGTTTCTTCATTTCTTCCTACAATAGCACACTGATTAACTCGCGCATTGCAGCGCAGTGAACAGTTGGTAAATTAAAGTGCAAGGTTTGTTGAAGGTGGGGGAGACTGTAGATGTTGCCAGGTAGAAATGATGAAGCCCGTGTTTCTATAGGAATTAAAGTCTACAAATATTTGTCCAGTAATCTACATCTATGCATGTAAGTATCGGCGAAGGTAGCAGTCAGGTCAAAGGTCCTTCCTGGGCACACCTGGAAATCACAAGTGGAAATATCTTAAATAATATTACAATAGTGTAATACAAAATTGTGTTACAATTACGATCAGAGCTAAGCAACAATATCCAGCTTTAAATATGCTATTTAAACACAATAATTGGTCTGTCTGATGTTAAAATGTGACTGTGCGTGCAATTGGTGCAATCTCGGGTGATTCAAAGATGACTGTAAAATAAGTTACCTTAAATATATCTAGAAGTCTGCATCGAGTTCGCTCATGCGTGTTGCTCTATGCTGCAGAAAATAATTTTTATAATTAATTATCATATTTAGGAATTAGAGATCTATCAGCATGTACGTAGCCATTCAAAAATTACAGAGGAATCGGTAGAATGCTTTATGCGAAGGGATTAGCACTAAATTTGATGCCAATATTTATTGCCTATATTTATGTAGTTAAAAATGGATTTTATAACAATTGAAAAATACTAACTGATGAGCGAATTCCACCACCGCGTGCCATGGCCCTCATCTTAGCAGCCGCTGTCTCTGCCTCCTCGAGTGAAACCTGGGTGTCCTCAAGCTCAGCCTGTGTCTTACGGTACTTGGCTAAGTTCATGTTGGCGACCTCTTCAGCTTCATCAATCTGGCGCTTGTACAGCTTGGTTTTGCCGTTAAGCTTCTCGATCATGTCCTGGAAGTGTATCTGATTCTTCTTAGAATCTTTAATTTGCATCATCAAATCTCTGACATTACGATCAGCCTTGCGGTAGTTCTGTGCTTCACTGTGTCGGCGTTGTTCTGCATCCAGCTCTCCCTCCAGCTCACGAATGCGCTGCTCCAGCTTGGCAATCATCTTCTTGCCTCCCTTCAGGACATTTGCTTCAGCCTCGTCGAGACGTACCTGTAGATCCTTCAGTTGTCCTTCGACAGACTGGCGAGCCTTCTCCGCATGCTGGGCATGGTCTTGCTCCTGACGCAGCTCCTCAGCAAGGCGGGCAGCATCTGCCGCGGCATTCCTTGCCTTCTCGTCGGCGTGCTTCATCTTGTTCATGGTTTCCTCAAGGTCGGCCTGAATGGTAGTAAGGTCTCCCTCCAGCTTCCTCTTAGCAGCGTTAGCAGAGGATACCTGGGACTGCATGTCACTGAGATTATAGTTGGCTTCATTCAGCTCAGCCTCCGTTGCGCGGCGGTTGCGCTCAGACATCTCCAAAACAGTACGTGCCTCTTCCAGCTCGGCAGTGATGCTGTTTACATCGACGCTCAGAAGAACCCAGTCTTTCGGCAAGCTCATCACGCTGACGCTGTTCGTCTTCAATCTGGATCCTTCATATACGTCTGGAGCTTCTTCAGATTCTTTTGGGCATCTGCGTTCTGTCGGTTTGAACTATCCAAAGCAACCTCCAACTGGTTGATGTCATGCAGTCTCTAGCTTTTTCTTTATGCGCATGACCTCGCCTCTGCCCTTGGCCTCGGCTTCAAAGCTGGCCTGCATGAAGTCGATGGCACGCTGGTGATTTCTACGTGTTGTACGAGCCTTTGCCCTGTTCAACTGAGTAACCTGAGACTCGGCTTCTTCCAGTTGCCGCATGATGCCGTTGTTCTCAGTCGCTGCACGCGACTTCTGTGCGTTCAGGTCGTTGATAGTGCGAGTGGCTTCATCCAGCTTGCTGTTCGCTTCAGACAGCTGCCTTTCCAAAGCCTTTGAAAGCTTATCAGCCTGACCCTGTAAATTTAACATACTATAGACTATGACAGTTTAAATATCAAAGACATTTTAGACTTTAAATCTATGTGCTGCGAGGCAATTATGTAATTTGGCGAGCCAAATCGTCATTGTAGATAAACCGATACCGTAAGTAGCCGGGGAATTTCACACACGCAGTACACACAGTAAATGCGTAAACTCAATTATTTATTCGGAAATTGCTGTATAGTCGTAGCATATGCGACACGATTGATAGCAGCACTTTGAAACAGGTACGTACGCAGTGAATATGTAAAATGTACTGATGTTTGCTTGTTTAAAAGATAATATACCCTGCTCTTGGAAACATGATCAATATTGCTCTTGGCATCCTCCAATTCCACATTGACTTGAGCCCTTTCTTTTTCTACCCTGAAAATTATTATTCAGTAATTAATTAAGGTTAGTGCCGTAAAACATCTTTATATATTGTTTATAAATTGATACTAAATGAGAAAAAACCTATGTTGTCATCCATTCTCATAAAATTTGTTATATGAACACGTGCTTGGATTTGACCTTCTGCAGTTGATCGATCTGCTCTCCCATCTCAGCAGTCATGTCATTCTGCTTCTTGCGCAGAGATGAGATAGTTGATTCGTTTTGCAGAGCTTGCTCCTCAAGATCACGACGCAGCTTTGCTAATTCAGCCTCACGCTTCTTGTTCAGCTCTACTTGGGCACTAGTGGCGCCACCTGCTTCCTCCAAACGCTCAGTCAGGTCTTCGAGTTCACGCACGGCATCGCCACGCTGCTTCTCTACCTTAGAGCGAGACTGTCTCTCTGCCTCGACCTCTTCCTCCACTTCCTCGATGCGGGCCTGCAGTTCTTTGATCTTCTTCTGCATTTGGTGAACGACTCCCTGCTCATCCTCACACTTGCCGTTTAGGCCAGCTACCTCTTTGTCCTTCCTACGAATGTTCTCTTCCAGCTCCTGCCTGGCACGCTCCAGCTTCTCTACAGCCTCCTGTGTCATATTAAGATCATCTTCAAGCTTCCTCTTCGCTTTTTCTACATCTCCACGCACCTTCTTCTCGCGTTCAAGATTGTCCTCGAGCTCGTCAAAATTCTGCTCAAGCTTAGCCTTTGGGTGATTTGATTGTGATTGATTTGTTGACAAAAAATGGGACGGGGGTGAATGAGTAAGTGAGTGAGTGACTGATAGATTTGAGATGCGGAATGAGGAATTCTACATGATTTACGGATAGCTACATCGCTTTGAAGTCAGTGCGGTTTTAGTATTGGTCCGATTGCGAAGGCGCGTTCTCATGGGCTCGGAAAAGTCAACGCGGGTTTTATTTGTTTTTCCTAGATGCTACATAATCCCGCATCAACCACTGCATACGGGATACGCCATGTTGGGATTTCACTTGATGCACGGGTACTAATTGACCTGCAAGTAAAATCTACGCAACTATTTAAACCGTTATGTACCAACCAATTGTATTTCTTAGCAGTCTGACGGTTGCCTCGTTCATTTTGAATGTGAGAATTCGCTCCAGTAATCGTGCGAAAGATCCGTTTGTATTCATACGTCCCCTAGCTATGGTATAGGGAAACAGGGCGGGTACTACTTCAAATATCGTGCTTATTCAGAGAAATAATACGCGTATACATGAACTCCGTGCTGTAATTGCATTAATTTTACCACACATAGTTTGTAGTATTCATAACACGCGCTGTCTCAGTGATTACACTTATAACCCTTAAAACCGGGGAATTCTATTTTTAAACAATTGATCATATATTTCGTTAGTTAGTTTGGAAAAATGCGCTTATGAGTAACATTAATTTGTTTTCTAATTGTGACGCAATAATATTTATTCTTAGATATACTATCAAGTGCCAATTGCAACGTTATTACGCAATTGCCGTTGCAATAGCGGCCGACGCAACGACTCAATAGAATGCCGACGCAATAGCCGTTGCCAATTACGCAACATTATGAGAACGCAGGACCGGTTATTGTTCCAAAATCGAGGATATTCAGATTCAGACGTTATTTTAGGAAAGTTCGTGTATGTTCTTGCATAATTTCGACCCGGCAAGATTTATAACAATACTCATTCAATCTCGTAGGATTTCATATATGAGTGCTTCCAGGTATATCCGCACAATTTTCAGTTTTCAGTCACACACACACACACACACACACACACACACACACACACACACACACACACACACACACACACACACACACACACACACACACATGTAGAATCCGTAGGAATAGCTTGTAGAATCTAATTTAGAATCAACTTCGCGAATGACTGCTCTGAGATTATATGTCGGCTTATACGTTTTCGCGAAATTGATCGGTAATCGAATGAAAGATGTTTCCGTCTTTTATTCAAGACGTTTACAGCTCTTTACAGCGCATATATATATGTGGAAAATCTCACTAAGCAATCCACTAGTAACGGACTAACAGAAAATGGCATTTGTCACACATTTACTACACATTTAGCTTTATATTTATCTATGCGCTCTAACTTACCAACACATGGAATATTGCGCTTTGATTTATAGAAGTAATCCACAACCCTGATTCACTATTATAAATTATTGTCATATATAATATAATAATAATAATATAATAATATATTAATTATAAATAATTAATGCTTTGAACAGTCGTTAGTGGTTTCTGTTAACAAGATATGAACATTTTCGTGATTTACGTTGCGTGTCATGAGCAGGTATGTGCATTTGCACGTGCCGTCTAAAACATGTTACTAGATTTACGTTCAAATTGTGTTGTAATAAAAGCGTCTGTATGCTTACGTGCGTGTGACATCTTTCTTATTCTAGATTTCAGATTAATGCAGTGCAACCGCACAATCGAGCTCGACTATGTTTGTTAACTAGTACTGTTCCAATGTAGCTGGTAAAATATGCTGGCCGTTAGGGTAAAAGTATTAAAAACGCATTAAAAGCCCCGGCTTTTACCGAGATTTGCGTCTCTTTACGCTGCTTTGAACAGCGCAGGTTTTTCGAGGCTTCCCATTACATACAGCGAAATCGGTTAGGTTTCTGTTAACAGGTTGCGCTATTTGTTATGCCTACAGTCCTTTCGATGTGAGTTTCGTTCTTGTCACTATTGGCCACACATAAATGAGTTTTAAAAAACGTCTCTGCGTATACACGGCCATTAGAAATGAACCCTATATTTATATTTTTATTATAAGTCAACCCGTTTTCTAATAACATTGGGTTTTTACACCGCGAGGATGCAGCACGTGGGGTATTTTTTTCTCCTATAAACGCAGCTGCTTGTTTGCAGGGCCGTAGCTAGTAGGAGTGGGGGACAAGGAGCAGCCCCCCCCCAGGAAAATGTAGATACATAACATCATTATAATCTCATCATAACATCAGGAGTAAGATAATATAGGATCCTATATTATCTTACTCCTGATAACATCAGGTATTATTAGCTCTTGATAACATGGTGTATGGCGGTCCACTACCCAATAGGCCTGGCTTTAATTGCCACCCCTCCCGAGTCCCTACCTTCTAAGGCAAAATGGCTTAGCTACGCTCCTGGTTTATTGCGATTGACGTGCGTGTGTATGTATTGTGTATGTGCGTGCGTGCGCACGTGTGTGCGTGGGGTGGGGGTGAGCGTAGGGATAGCCTTTGTGTGCGTGCGTGCGCCCGTGCGCGCATGTGTGTCGGAGACAAAGAATGTGGGATACTATATGTATATATATATATCAAGAGCTAATAATACTGATAGTTATAATAATAATAATAGGTATCATTTGCTCTTGATATATATATATATTGGGATGATAGTTAGCATGTTATTTATCGCATTTGGAAAAATCTAATGATTATAGGATTTAATAGTAAATATGTCGGGATGGTTATCGTGAAACTCGATGTACGTAGGTTAAATATGCAACACAATGTTTCAGGTATTATGTATCCGTCTGTTTCTACTAATAATATAATCGAGATATTATACGATGCAGCTCGATTCAAATTCAACAAAGGGTTTATTTTTACGTCTAAACATATGGTACAATGGTAATTAAGGATGGCAAATGTTAAAAGTCAAGACGTAACAACTTGTGATATGCCTGCTTGTGTTTCATTTTAGCTATATGCAATATATGTACTGAGGTTATCTACTAAGCGGATGCGCGTAACTCATTCTCGTATCTGCACTGTGTTATGACGGAAAACGCACTATGAGAGTTTACAACGACATACGCTAGTCATACAAAGCGCGTGAAGAAGATTCTACCTCATAACAGTCTATTCCAATGTCGATCTAACAAGCATGTGTGGCAGTAATTGGACTTTATAACTTGACTCTTAGCCTTATTGTTTAAACGAAAATTTACTTCATTTATTTTTGCTATCGCACACTATGCCACCAGCGCGGTGCACGCACTAAGGGAACTGAGTAAGTAAACTCATCTGCAATCACTAAGTGAAGAATAGAACGATGAAACCCGTTTTTCTATGTGAATATGTTCAAACCTATACATCTATGCACGCAATTATCGACGAAGACAGGAGTCGCATTCAGGTCCGAGGTCGGTTATTCCGAATCCATTTTCATTATCCGAACCTTAAAGAAAACATGAGAAGTTAAGGCGGTAACGTGTTGCGGTCCTCTTAAAACAGCTAACATATTAGTTAAAAGGAAATGGGGCAAAACTTATAATAAATATTGCATAGCTGTAAATGTGCCTTTAGAATACTCTATTTTAGTGTACATAATGCCGAAACAGCTAAAACGCACTTATGCAAGCGTTGCTGATAAATATTAATCGACGAATTCAGAGATAAATAGACAACATTTGTTTCATACATGTGTTCAGAAGTCAGCATCGGCCAGGCTTCTACGTGTTGGTGCAGCCTGTAGAGAAAAGATAGACATAAGCTACACCTGTCTACAAGCGGCGCCACAGAATCAGTAAGTAGATGTGTGATGAGATCATAACAGAGTGATTTAGCGGTCCAAGAGTGGTTTAAAAATCGAACCACACAAAGAGACCAGAAAATGAGTAGAAATTCTTATAAGATCAGTTTCCGTACACTGTCATATATGTTGGAATCGTGTGATTAAAAATATCGGTTACGTTAATTAAAAAAATACTAACTGATGAGCGAACTCCACTACCGCGCGCCATGGCCCTCATCTTAGCCGCCGCTGCCTCTGCCTCCTCTAGTGCAACCTGGGTGTCCTCAAGCTCAGCATGTGTCTTACGGTACTTGGCTAAGTTCATGTTGGCGACCTCTTCAGCTTCATCAATCTGGCGCTTGTACAGCTTGCATTTGCCGTTAAGCTTCTCGATCATATCCTGGAAGTGTATCTGGTTCTTCTTAGAATCTTCGATTTGCATCATCAAATCTCTGACATTACGATCAGCCTTGCGGTAGTTCTTCTGTGCTTCACTGTGGCGGCGTTGTTCTGCATCCAGCTCTCCCTCCAGCTCACGAATGCGCTGCTCCAGCTTGGCAATCATCTTCTTTCCTCCCTTCAGGACATTTGCTTCAGCCTCGTCGAGACGTACTTGCAGGTCCTTAAGCTGACCTTCCACAGCGTGGCGAGCCTTCTCCGCATGCTGGGCATGGTCTTGCTCCTGACGCAGCTCCTCAGCAAGACGGGCAGCATCTGCCGTGGCATTCCTTGCCTTCTCGTCGGCGTGCTTCATCTCGTTCATGGTTTCCTCAAGATCGGCCTGCATGGTAGTAAGGTCTCCCTCCAGCTTCCTCTTGGCAGCGCTAGCAGAGGCCACCTGGGACTGCATGTCGCTGAGGTGATCGTTGGCTTCATTCAGCTCAGCCTCCGTTGCGCGGCGGTTGCGCTCAGACATCTCCAGTGCAGTGCGTGCCTCTTCCAACTCGGCACTGATGCTGTTGCAACGGCGCTCGGAGGATCCCAATCTTTCAACAAGCTCATCACGCTGACGTTGTTCATCTTCAATCTGGCTCTCAAGGTCTTTTATCTGTGCTTGAGCCTTCTTTAGGTTTTTCTGGGCATCTGCGTTCAGGCGGTTGGCACTATCTAAAGCAACCTCCAACTGGTTTATGTCAGTCTCCAACTTCTTCTTCATACGCATGACCTCGGTCTTGCACTTGGCTTCAGCTTCAAGGCTGGCCTGCATGGAGTCGATGGCACGCTGGTGATTCCTACGTGTGGTCTCGAATTCTTCATCCTTCTCAGCAAGGCGCCTGTCAATCTCCTGGCGAATCTGCTGCAGCTCGAGTTGTGAGCGGACGTTCTTAGCCTCCTCTTGTTCAAGAGCAGCTTCAGCCTCTTCAAGGGCAGACTGCATTTCTTCCTTCTCCTGCTCTGCTCTCCTGCGGGCCTTGTCAACCTCGTGGATGCTCTTGCCTCCCTCGCTCAATTGTTCAGCGATATCCTTGATCTCATCAGCAAGATTCCTGTTCTCTCTCCTCACGCTATCGATGCCATCATTTGCTTCATCTGCAGCGGACTTTGCCTTGAACAGATCCGTGGAAATGTTGCGGCATTCGCGCTGAGATGCCTCAAGCTCTGCTGCTAGGTCATCGCTCTTCTGCTTCCACTCGCTGACAGTCTTGTCAAAGTTGCGCTGCCTCTTCTCGGCAGCATTAGCTGCTGATGAGGCACGCTCCACCTCAATAGACATATCATCCATTTGGTTCATCAACTTGGTTTTGACCTTTTCGAGTTGGGCGACCTTAGATAGAGCAGACTCGGCAGTATCCTCAGCATTCTGAAGCTTGGCCTGCATTTTCCGTCTGAAAAAGTATTGTTAATTTCATTTTAAATAAAATGCTCACATTACTGTTATATAACTTATATATATACTTATATAAACTATATATAACTTTCTTATAATTCTTGATTACTCAGTAAAAATTAATAGGCGTAATTTCTACTCATGACTCTTTCATAATTGCCGTAATTCTCGTTCATCAATGAACTTCACAGCATATTTATTTTTAACGAAAATTTTTCTTTTCGGTTTAACTGCTTGTTTAAATACTTGATCTCATCGGCCTCTGGTCCTCCACCGCCGAGTCCCTCGCTCTCTACCCGTGCTCGCAAGGTGTTGAACTCGTTTGTAACCTTCGCTAGCTGCCTCTGAAGCTGGGACCTGGCGTCAGACTCTTCTTCCAGCTGCTCTCTCATTTGTTCAGCATCATGCTGGGAATTGCGTACCTGGGACTGAAGGGCAGCCCGTTGCTGAAATAAGTAATACAATAACATTATAGTTCAACAACAGAAATATGTCTCTGTTATATTTCAGCAGAAACTGATTGGACACGAGAAAAAGTTTGTCAACCCCGTATTAGTCTAAAGTTTATATATATATATATATAATATAGGTTCGTAATTTTTGCTTTTATTCTTAAAATTGTTTCAGAATTAGGCTCAACTATCTTTTCATTATAAATGGTCCTACTCTTGATTCGTCTTCTAGGGAGTTCTTTGTCTCTTCCATTTGCGTTGTCATCTGAGCCTTCACTCTATTCAACTGAGCAACTTGCGACTCAGATTCTTCTAGCTGGCGCATGAGGTCGTTGTTTTCAGCAGCTGCGCGCGACTTCTGTGCATTTAGGTCATTGATGGTGCGAGTGGCTTCGTCCAGCTTGCCATTGGCTTCAGCTAGTTGTGCTTCTATTGCCTTCGACAGCTTCTCAGCTTGGGCCTGTGAATTTATAATCCCATACACTGTGAAGGACTACATGCTACCCGTATTTGTAAGTTAATGCATGAATTGTAAATACTGGATGATTAGTATATATTGCAGAAAAAGGATAGGGAGTATGGATACCAAAAATGTCCAATGATATGTCTATGTAAATATTAATAGAGTGCTTTACCTTACTCTTGGCAACATGATCAATGTTACTCTTTGCATCATCCAATTCCACTTTAAGCTGAGCCTTCTCCTTGTCGACCCTAAAACATTAAAAAGGAATGCTGGTTAGACATGTTTGAAAGATTTGTAATGACTCTATTAAATCAAAAATATCATCATTTCCCACGAAATCATTGTATAAACACGTACTTGGCTTTGACCTTCTGCAGTTGATCGATCTGCTCTCCCATCTCAGCAGTCATGTCATTCTGCTTCTTGCGCAGAGATGAGATAGTTGATTCGTTTTGCAGAGCTTGTTCCTCAAGATCACGACGCAGCTTTGCTAATTCAGCTTCACGCTTCTTGTTCAGCTCTACTTGGGCGCTGGTGGCGCCTCCTGCCTCTTCCAGGCGCTCAGTCAGCTCCTCAAGTTCACGCACGGCATCACCACGCTGCTTCTCTACCTTGGAGCGAGACTGTCTCTCTGCCTCGACCTCTTCCTCCACTTCCTCGATGCGGGCCTGCAGTTCTTTGATCTTCTTCTGCATTTGGTGAACGACTCCTTGCTCATCCTCACACTTGCTACTTAAGCCGCTTACCTCTTTGTCCTTCCTACGAATGTTCTCTTCCAGCTCCTGCCTGACACGCTCCAGCTCCTCTACAGCTTCCTGCGTCATCTTAAGATCACCTTCAATCTTCCTCTTTGCTTTTTCTACATCTCCACGCACCTTCTTCTCGCGCTCAAGGTTGTCCTCGAGTTCATCAAGATTCTGCTCAAGCTTAGCCTTTAGCTTGTTAAGATGGTTGCACTTGTCCTCTTCCTTCTGAAGATCTTCTGAAGTTCTCTAAAAATGTATAAAGATTGGTTTTGGCTCGTTCTCAAAATGACAATACTAGATTTCAAATCACATTTTACACTACATTGGTGCTAATATCTGCTATAGGTATAATAATGTAAACAAGCGTAAGTCATTGTATAATATCGTATGAAAATGAATCTACCTTTAATTCATGGTCAATGACTAAATACTGTCGTATAGAATAACTGTAACGCTGAGTATTGACACTTTACCGATTGATTTTCTTCGACATTCTTCTTTTCCTTGTTGACTTTGGCGATGAGCTCCTCCTGGCGGGCAATTTCATCATTCAGTTGCTTGATTTGATGTTCTTTAGCTGTCTTCTCGCTCTCGACCTTCTTCAGGCTTCGTTCAAGATCCTCAATGCGGCTCTTCAGGTCAGAACATTCCCCTTCAATTTTCCTCTTGGCAGCGGAGACAGCTGAGGCTCCTTCTTCTTCATCGTGAAGATGGCTCTGGACGTCAGCCAGCTGCTGTTCCAGCTCAGCCTTCTGCTGTATGAGCTTGGTGGCCCTCTCCTCTATATCAGCAATAGTCGAGGATTCTCCCTCTACCTGTGAGTGCAGGTCAGCCTTTTCCTTTTGGAGTTTTACGATCTGCTCATCGCCTTCCTTGCGTAACTTTGTTTCTTTTGCCAGTTCTTCTTTCACTTTTTCAAATTCCTCTTTCATTTCCTTCATTTCGTCCTCTTGCCGAGCAACAGACAACAAAGGCTTGACCTTAGTGTATAGCTTCCACCATGGCCAGTTGCGGCACTGGATGTACTTCCTCACGTTACGTTGGATAACAGCCATTGCCATACGCTGTGCCTTCATGACAATAAACTCTTCCCTCATCTGCTTGCCGCGGATCCATGCTTGCATCAGTGTAACAATGCGCCTGATACGCTCTTCTCTCATCTCCTCCAGTTTACCCAGTGAGCCTGCCTTGAAGAAAACCTTTGTGTGACCCATTTTATACATCTCCTTATCCCATTCCAACGCAGTGAGGATGTTTTCACAAACGTCTTTGCTATCTGAGAATCCTTCAGGGACAGCATTTGGTGCCAAGATTTGGTACCTAAAAACATTAAACAATTAAACTTTGCAAAGAAAGCCTGGATAGACATTTATCTTGACCAATATAGGTTAAGAACATTAACAGTTTTGAGACATGTACCGTTACTACAGCAAGATCTGGGATAGCCATCGTCCTCGCTATCATTAATCATGATGTTATTTATTTTGTTATTAGCGGTATAACCATATGACATTGCACGAAATTGTAGGAAAAATAACAATTCTATTGTTTCTATTATAAGATGAGCGTGCACTTTAACCCCGTTTTAAATTATAAGGTATTTCTTTATCACATGCCTGTGATGCATCATATTGATACGCAAGCATCCTGTGTTTATGAGTATATACGTACCTCTGCTTAAAATCGCCATAGACCAGCCTGTTGGGGAAGCCCTTGCGGCAAATACGGATTCCTTCTAGCACACCGTTACATGTCAGTTGGTTCATGACAAGCTCGGCATCAATTGCACCGCCTTCTTTGTTTTCGTTAGGGATAAGGCAGCGCACAAAGTGGGGTTGAGTGCTCTCAAGAGTGTGCATCAACCTATTCAGTTGCTCCTGTCAATTGAGGATGCTTGGATTAGCAAATTTACGAATGATAAAATGTAGATGGTAGATAATGTTACAATCAATAGAGGCTAGAAGATAAATAGGAAACTTACTCTATATACAGCAGAGACGGTCTGGAAGGCAGATCCCTTCTTTCTTTTGCCCTTGCCTCCGCCTCCTTCCTCCTCCTTGACCAGCTTATCAGCAAAGAGCGTGCACATCAGGTGGTTTCCGTGGGACTTTGCAAATGTTTCAGCAACGGTATCATTGATCGGATCCTTGTTCTTCTCCAGCCATCCACTAATGTTGTAGTTGACGATGCCGGCATAATGGCAGATGCCGAAATGGGCTTCTTTTTGGGTTCCCTTCGGCGGCTTTGGCTTGATAAAAGCCTTGGACTTGCCGAGATGATTTTGCACGAGCTTGTCTTTAAACGTGTCGTCAGTAGCTTTTGGGAACATAGATTCCTCTTCCAGGATAGCAAAAATTCCCATTGGCTATAAATAAAAAATACATTTTAACAAATGACAAGTCTGCCTATGTACTGTGTGTATTCTGGCGTGTTACAGTAACAAATATGAGCATTTTTCTTCCCAATTTTAAATGCATGTGGTTCATGACACCTGCATTTACCTTTTCAATCATTTCAATGCAGGCTTGCAGATCCAGACCGAAATCAATGAAGGTCCACTGGATGCCTTCACGCTTATACTCTTCCTGCTCCAGAATGAACATGTGATGGTTGAAAAACTGCTGCAGCTTCTCGTTGGTGAAGTTAATGCAGATCTGTTCGAAACCGTTGAAATCAAAGATCTCGAATCCGGCAATATCCAGTACTCCAATGAAGAACTGCTTCTTATGTGGAGTAGCTAGAGTTTCGTTGACTTTGACGACCAGCCACTTGAACATTCTATCAAACATTGCCTTGGCAAGTCCGGAAATTGCGTGGTAACATTGGTCCTTGTTCTGACCCTTGGTGACGTATTCCGTTCCGACCTTGACACGTGGCTTCAGCAGACCCTTGTAGAATTCTGCATCAGAAACACCCAGCAGGTGAGCAACACGCCCTCCACTTTCCATGCCATCGGCCTCAGCCTGCTCCTCTCGCGGTCTCTGCTTGAAATGCATAGTTCCCATATGCATGACCGACGCTGTGACCTTGTAGAGATTCTGTTTCTCCTCTTCCGTGAACAATAAAACATCAAATGCATCCTACAATGAAAAAGATTTCACACATACTACATTAATTCGTGCATAAATGTGACATGCATCGACATTGTTTGCTGTTTATGTATATTAGAACAAACGTGTGAAAGTGGATATTGGGAAAACACGTTTTATTAGATAATACCAAGCGTACATAATAGATAATTTTATCTCTATTATGTACTCTTGATAATACGCAGTATAGCATGAAATGCGTCATGAACTAATGGATCCATTAATAATATGCAAAAACCACGACACTAAAACAATAACCAACAGCTGTTATAGAATTGACATTCCCTGAATTATCACAACGGCAGTTACGCACAAAACGGTTTTTGCTTAATAAGGCTGACTTACATCGGTAGCTCTCATTTCCTCTGCATCATCAACGCCATCGATGTAGGTTCTTCCTTGAGCGACGAAGTGATACGTTTCGATGACCTCGGTGAGGAGCAGCTTCTCTGAAAGCAGACATAACTAATTAGCATCCCTACCTGTCCATCCATCTATCTATCTATCTATCTATCTATCTATCTATCTATCTATCTATCTATCTATCTATCTATCTATCTAATCTATCTAATCTATCTATCTATCTATCTATCTATCTATCTATCTATCATATCTATCTATCTATCTTATCTATCTATCTATTTGTCTATCTATCTATCTATCTATCTATCTATCTATCTATCTATCTATCTATCTATCTATCTATTCTATTCTATCTATCTATCTATCAATATCTATCTATCTATACTATCTATCTACTATTATCATCTATCTATCATTATCTATCTATCTATCTATCTATCTTTATCTACTCATCTATTATTCTATCTATCTATCTATCTATCTATCTCATCTATCTACATCTATCTATCTATCTAATATATATATCTATTCTATCTATCTATCTATCTATCTATTATCTATCTACTATTATTCTTATCTATCTATCTATCTATCTATTCTATCTATTATCTATCATCTATCTATCTATCTATCTATCTATCTATCTATCTATCTATTATCTATCTATCTATCTATCTATCTATCTATCTAATATATCTATCTATCTATCTATCTAATTTCCCTATCTATCTATCTATCTAGTCTATCTATTTATCTATCTATTACTCTATTCTAATCTATCATCATCTATTATCTATCTATCTATCTATCATCATATCTATCTAGCCCTAGCTAGCTATCTATCGAACTATCTCTCTATTATCATACTACATATCTTATTTACTCTATCTATTTATCTATCTATCTAGCTATCTATCTATCTACCTATCTATCTAGCTAACATCTATACATATCTATCCATCCATCTACCTATCTATCTATCTATTTATCTACCTATCTATCTAGCTAATATCATATCTATACATATCTATCCATCCATCTACCTATCTATTCATCTATTCATTCATCAATCATATCTCCAATTCTTCATACATCCAATCCATCCATCCATCTCCATCCATTCCATCTTCCATCCACTCCACATCCATCCATTCCATCCATCCATCCATCATCATCCATCCATCCGTCACAAATCTCTACATCATATCGCATCTCCATCCATCCATCCATCCATGCCATCCATCCATCCCATCCATCCATCCACATCCACTCCATCATCCACCTCCATCCATCCATCCAATCCCATCCATTCCATCCATCCATCCATTCCATCACATTCGCATCCATCCATCCATCCATCCCAGTCCATCCATTCATCCATCATCCATTCCATCCATCCATCCATCCATCCATCCATCCATCCGAACTCCATCCATCATCCATCCATCTTCCATCCATCCATCCATCACTCCATCCATCCATCCATCCATCCATCCATCCATCCATCCACCATCCATCCATCCATCATCCATCCATCCATCCATCATCCATTCCATCATCCATCCTCCATCCATCCATTCCATCCACCATCCATCCATCATCCATCCGCATCGCAATCCATCCATCATCCATCCATCGCCATCCATCCATCCATCCAGTCATCTCATCCATCCATTCATCCATCCATCCATCCATCCATCCATCCATCCATCCATTCCATCCATCCATCCATATCCATCCATCCAATCCATCTCGATTCCATCCATCCATCCATCCATCCATCCATCCATGCCATCCATCCATCCATCCATCCACTCCATCCATTCCATCATCCATCCATCCATCCATCCACATCCATCCATCCATTCCATCCATCCATCATCCATCCACCATCCATCCATCCATCCATCCATCCATCCATCCATCCATCCATCCATCCATCCATCCATCCATCCATCCATCCATCCATCCATCCATCCAATCACTTATTCGTTCATTCATTTATTCATCTATCTGTTATGTATCTATCTTTACATCTGTCGCGTGTGTATAATCATATATAACCGCAAATATTTGCACAACATACGTGTTACTGCAATGCATACTTTTCATTCCTTCTAAGCCATCAGAGTAAATCTGATAGAAGATATGGTAGCTGCGCTCAATTGGCTGCTGTGCCACAACTCGGGACTTTTCTAGTAGATCTGCGAATGAATTTTCGAACATGGTATCGTAATGTAGTATAATAATATAATGTGATATAAAAAGACATTTATTATATAATGCATATTTATATGTATTATATAATTGTGTATAAAAATAAACATGATATGAGAGCAGCCGCTACAGTTTAATCGATCACGTTGAAACTGAGTCACAGTTTACGTCGCAATTTACGTTAATCGTTGATACTTTCTTAACATGAGCTTTTACTTACACGATTCAATATCAGCACCGGCTAGTTTTCCGTGTGGCCCGAAATGAATGCGGATGAATTTGCCCTGTGCAAAATAAAATTCGTAATTACGAATTATTTGACAGTATTATAAACTGTCCAGTATTAGTCAAATTGTGTTGAAGGTCAACAATAATATGCTATCTTAGAAATTATTTTAAGTATTATAACAGTTACTATTACATACTGATATAAATTTTGTCAAATAATCTAGCTCTGAGAGCTTTTATACGGCGATGCGTTAATCACTTACGAAACGAGATGAGTTGTCGTTTCTGACGGTCTTAGCGTTACCGAAGCTCTCAAGGACAGGGTTAGCTGACACGATCTGATCTTCCAGGTTAGCCTTCTTCTTCTCGCCTTCAGCTGGCTTAACGCCCGAGGCAGCAACCATGGCGAAGTAGGAAATAACCTTCTTCGTGTTTTCTGTCTTTCCGGCACCAGACTCACCACTGAGAGCATATATGGCAAATGCAGCTGACTAATAATTATTCAATTATCTCTGTCTCTACTTGCAGTTTTAGCAAGTAATTTTACTAGTGCAACTGTGCATAGCGCTGAGAGCATATGGCAAATGCAACTGACTAATTATTCATTTATCTCTGTCTCTACTTTGTTTTAGCAAGCAGGTAATTTTACTAGTGCGACTCTGCATCACGAACTCGAACGCGTTCGAACCACTTTAGGTAGGCAGCGCATGTGGACGTCATTTATGTCAAGACGGAGGACGTATTTGAATATATAGAGTTCTAATATAAATTATAATTATAGCAGTTTCATTTCATTTACTTTCAAAAATAGGCCCCAGTCAAGATAACAGAAGTCATGGCAACTTACGTGATTAACATGGACTGATCTTCCCTGTCTGAAAATGATAGCAAAAGAAGCTGTAAGTATATATGTTTCATGATGCTGTTTCCTCCTATTAGAGTTAATGCCATTAAATTATGTGTTATTTTGAGCACTTGTGTGCTCAGTAATAGCCTGAAAATATAGTCATGATGTATAAATGCAGACATATGAAGTACTTACTAGCAATCATGGCAGCATATGCGTTGTCAGAGACTGAGAACAGATGGGGTGGCATCTCATTTTTACGCTTGCCACGGTACTCGCTGACAACCTCTGGGTTGTAAATAGGCAGCCTTTTGTAGGGGTTGACCACAACGCAGAAGAGTCCCGAATAGGTCTGCATAATTAAACGCAAAATTGAAATGCGTGGAAAACATATTAAAACATATATCTGTTTTATACCGATCAAAAAACAGAATCGACTTATATATTAACTTACAAAATTGTATATTTCTTGTTATATCTATTATAAATACACAAGTCAATAGGCGGATAAATTAATGTGAACTTACATAAATCATCCAGGCGCGATATCTCTGCCTCAGGTTATGAAGAACGGAAGCGTCGTTCAGGTATGTCAGGTTAGACATGTCTTCGCACTTCTCGTACTGCGGAGGGTTCATCTGCTGAATGTGCTCAGTTTTCATAGTCATCTCCTGCGGAAATAATGGACATGATTGCACGTGACACTAAACTTAGTTACGGCGTACCTTCGCATTTACGATTACAGCTGCCAGTTTTAAAGTAGATAAATAAACTACAATCTATGATGGCTTTCTTACTTCAACTCCTTTCTTTAGAATTGTCGTCATGTCGCCTTTCGTTTCCTTGATCTCGCCCTCTACGTATCCCTCTTTAGCGTCCGGCACCCACACCATCTTCTTAGCGTCAAACGGCATGTTTGCCGTCTCTATCTTCATTTTGTCGGTCGGCTTCAGGAACTGCCATGGGTCTTGTTGACCCAGCTCCTTCGTTCCCCATGGCAGGGGCAGGGCTTGGCTCAGCATACTGTCACAGAGATTCGAAGCCGGCTTGTCCTGAATACCCCACAGTACACCTAAATATCGAAAGCCAATATGTGCAAATATACCTCGTGGGATGTGTAGCGCAAATCATGTGAAGGTTCACTGTTAAGGAAAACCTACAATCGAATATTTATAGTCAAGGTTACAACGATATTAAGCAAACGAAGTTACTATAACAAGGGAACTGCTGAGAAGAGGATAGAAGACGAAATTAATAGAGATTGTAAAGGAACGAGGATAGACCAAGCAAATTTGTTATTACCATAGACAATAAAATAACATACGATTACTAAAGAGACGTGATTACGGACGCAGTCTGAAAACCTAACCATAACCTATATCGCATGCAACTACAACACATGTAGATAACGGTTATTTATACTTGGGCATAGGCCAATATTTGCATAGAATTTCGAATATAACTGATATAGCGATGCTTACCTCGACCTCAGATGCTCTGTAAGTCGCAAGTCTCCGCCAGGCTCATTTATACTCAGGCGGGCGATAAACAAGAAGGTTTTCGTCTAAAAACAGCGTTTTCATTGGTTCGCGCGTCAGGACATCGCGATGTCACACCCAACCAGAAAAGTCATAACATCGCGGATAGGAATTCTCGGTTCCTGCCCATTTTTGAAGCGTTTGCCTCGCCCAGCGTGTGAGTGTAATCCTACCTTCTTGCATGGACAATGCAGCTTTGGATAAAAATAATTCACTCTTTAACCACGTGACAGTCGCCTGTAAAGAATGCCAACATGTGAATGAAGCGCCGTCCCTCGTAGTTCTATTTCCACCCAGTACATCGATGCAGGACGCCTAACGGCTTGTACTATGTCAAACTTGCACTAAATCGGAAAGAATTCGCGACTTAAGTTGCTCGCTTAGATAGTCTTACATCGGTAATGCTATATACGCACGTACACGCCACTCAACAAGCCGGGTGAGAAGGCCAAACGAATTCTCAGTAAACCACGATAGCTACCGCATAGGTATATCATAGGGAAACGTGGTATCTATAGAATGATTTATATGCGGATATAGAATATATTCATGCTGGCATGTACATAGATTACAATATTTCAATTATGTAAAGTTTTTTTATTATAATAGTTTGTAATATTCGTTGTTTGTAATTCTATCCGCTTCCTTTCGCTTGTCGCTCAATACCCATCCCTCTTCTTTGCACTCACCCGCAAACACGTACGCACATACGCGTACACATCTGTCTCTCTCTCCTTCTCTAAACAAACGCGCACACACACGCGCGCACGCAGGCAAGCACGCGCAGCCGCACGATTATTTTCTGTCGCCTGATTTCTTTTTTTTACCCCCACTCGCTCTCCCACTAACTGTTAAACAGTCATGTCTGCACGAGCGGTTTTTGATGGATAAAATCTCACTTTGGTTTTTGGTGTCCCACTTTCCAGGAGGCCAAAATTGCACACCGCGTACCGATTTAGCTAACAATTGTGGTTGATTAATGGTTAATTCCCCCCCCCCCCCCCGAAAAGTGTTTAGGATTTATGTACTACATTGTGTGATCCGATAAGACATATATATATTATCAGAAACCACAAAATTTACACTAAATAAATTCTTGCAGTTCGAGTGTGTAGATAGTTCTGTGGTAATAGAATAACGATTTCGTTCGTGTTCATGCAGCTCGATCACCCGCTACAGCAATGTATCAAGACATTGTGAAATGATGTTACGTATATTATAATTGTGAACTTTTTAAGATTGCCCGGCATTGTATGAATATGCGTTGAGTCTTGCATTAATTGGTTCAAACATTTCAGCGACTCTACACGCAGTCGGCCGACCGGTAAAGAGACAAACAAGCATCTTGCCCGCCTATCGCTAAACAGGTAAATAGATAAGTGAGTGAGTGAGTGAGTGAGTGGGTGAGTGAGTGAGTGAGTGAGTGAGTGAGTGAGTGAGTGAGTGAGTGAGTGAGTGAGTGAGTGAGTGAGTGAGTGA